TAACAACAATAACATGTATGAACTGGAGCCAAAGTAGCAATACTTTGTGACTTCCATTCACTCTCTTCACCCATCGGTAAAGTAAGTGAATGGAAGTCAAAAAGTATTGCTATTTTATTTACAGAACTTGCAAACATAGCTGTCAGGTCAAAGAAGGATGTTGTTTTCCCATTGAAAACATTATCAGTATTGCTCCCTGCTGGACATGTCAGCATCCTGTGAGTGTGGCTGGCTTTGTCTCTGTTCATTTTCATGCTGGGTGGTTAATGTGTGGGACACACCCACACCGCCTGTGTGTATCACACAGAAGATAGCAAACAAGAACCTTCTCCTCTAGAAACATATTCTCTACTTGTTGTGGCCAGAATGGAAACTGGAGTCTAGTTTCTGAGGGGCAGACCACAACCATCTAGGACCCAGGATGGTATGCCGTGGCGTGACAGGAGACACCCAGAGTCCCTCAGACCTCAGGCAAGTCAGTCAGCCCTACTGAACTTGGGTTTCCTCATCTGCAAAATGGGATATCATTGTTAGAAATCTAGAAAGGCTCTAACAAGTATGCAATAGGAGGGGACGTCAAAAAGTTAGCGAACATTGGTACTGAAAGATAATGGAGTTTTTCCCTGGACTTTTTCAAGCCCCCTCAGTAGGACTGACTGACTTGTCCAAGGTGTTAGGAAGTATTTAGTCTTAGGCAGTTGGCCCTCCACACACTGTGGCTACTAGAATCATCAGAGTCCAAATAGGATACTTGCATGCCATACATGTGTCATGAACTCACTCTCTGGCTCTCAGTCAAATACGGCCACCTCTGGCACTCCAATAGGGCAGTAAAGGGGATAGCCCGGTGCAAGGTCGACTCCCTCCTTTGGCGGGGTAGGAAACCAAGCTGTTTCTATCTCCCCACAAGAACACACCTGTCTCAGCCCCTGAACGCTGGCGTCCTCTGGTGGTGAAAAAGGAAATATGCTTTGTTTTAAGTCCATCTCCATTCCTGCAGGAAAAATAAAAAAAGAAAGTCAAAAATTGAGGAAAGCACAAAAACATCATTATTTTGACTGAGACTCTATATTGTTAAGTAAAGGGTGAAAAGCAAGTCGGCTGCGTGTTTGAGCCTCCCACAGCTTCTGTGGGAGAGTAGAAGCCACTGCAGACTGTGAATGGCAAGGCTGTAGAAAAGAAGATCTATAGTTGGCATGATCTGTGGGCCCCTTTTTGGTCGTTCACCTCAGGAATGTGTGAGAATTCCTGTTTCCATCAGAATGCTGCTCAGTGAGGAACATTTTATCTGGGCCAGGAGTTTCCTGAGACACCTGATTTAGGGTGGCCAATGATTTAGGGTGGCTGGTCCGCATGTGCTGAAGGACCAGCCGGGCTCTTCCCATATTTTCAGTTTCAAGTGAGAGATTTCTGAGTCTTGCTTAGGTATCTTACTCAATCTGTGCATTTTTGTTAGGGACTGGCAAAAACTTCTAGGCAGAACTTTCGTTTGATTTTGTTGGTTTTAGGTGTTGTCGAGCCTGTTCCAACTCATAGCAACTGGTCCAACTCCTATCAGAAGGAAATACAGCCCAGTCATGCCCCTTACTTAGAATTTTTGTTATGTTTGAGGCTGTGAGGCTGAATTTAAAAATGAGACTCAAGAGAAGTCTGTAGGAATGAGAAGAGAATGCCATTTCCCTGCCCTCAGGGACTGGGGATCACAGACATTTTAGGGTTTGCTGAGGATAAAGGAAACCTCTGCTTACTTTCTAAGTTGGTTCTTAGAGAGATCCAGGGTCTTGAGTTGTCTGCAGGTCCACTTATCCTGAGGTGGAAGTGCCACCAGCTGGTTTCCCTGGAGTCTCAAACACATCAGGGCCTGAAACATCAGTCCACAAAGGGAGGAAGGCGTAAATGAAATGTCAGCTGACAGAGGAAGTACAGCTATTATACACTTGCCTTTGAAAACACCCTAACAGAATGGGCTCCAGTAGTTTCTTAATATCACAGATTATATCAAACAAACCAAATGGGACAATTCACCTCTCCTCAATCATATCCCACTGCCTTTAAGCTCCATTCTGACTCAGTGACTCAATATGGGGCTTCCGAGACTGTAAATCTTTATGGCAACAGACAGTGTCCTCTTTCTCCTGCCAAGTGACTGGTGGGTTTGAACTGCAGACCTGGTGGTTAGCAGTCCAGCGCTTATTCTACAGTGCCACCAGGGTTCATTAAGGATGTTAATTTCCCCCTGAAAATCAAGGAGAGGCAATTGTTCTAGAAAAGAGTCCAAAGTCTTCCAAATTTTAAGGATTCTTAAGTATGATGAGCATTCATGGGTTGGTGATGGGAACAGGGAACTGGGAACTCAGGTTCTCCGGGGTCAGAGTCACCACCAGGGAGCAGTACAAATGCTAGGTGTACCAGCTCCACCAGCATCTCTGCGTGAGGGCCAATTTTGTGGCCCATAGACACTGCTCGCCCTCTCCTGGCCAACCCAGATATTGCAGGGCTGCTGAGCCAGGCGCCCCTGGGAGGCACCAGGGGCGGTGAAGCTACTTCTCAACCACAGGACCCTCCGTGGCTGCCAGGAGCTGTGACGATGGAGGCAGTAGGTGTTGCCAAAGCCCTGCTCTTGGACTGTTACTGTTTTACTTTAACTTGATGACTTTGCCATGACAACTGAGGCAGCCTCGGGAGGGCTGACAAGTCTGTGTGCTGCCCACATTAACACCTCGTGGCCTCTGCCTCTCCTCCTTGGCTGAAGGGGGTCAATCAGCCCTGAATGCCATGTGCCAGGCCCTTCTCCCAGGCCCCATCTGGAGGACGAGACCAGTGAGACCCAGGGCCATGCTCTCCCCTCCTAGGAGGCTTTGCTGCTTCTGTGGATCCCAGGACACTGTGTCTGCCGGTGTAGATGTGAGAGAGGCAAGGCTGTGGAGGGTTCTCCCTCAACAACGAGGTGCAGATGGTGCCCATGACTGGTGGCCCTTTTGTGGGGCTGGGGTTGCTGCTCCCCACTGAGACGGGGGGCGCAGAGGGGGCAGAACTCAAATTCTTGAGGACCAGAAGCCTCTTCAGAAGGAAAACCTGGAAATCTACTTTCAGCCCTTTGTGGAAATAAACTCAGGACAGGGCATTTCCTGGGAACCTGTGCCCCCCGCACTCCCCCACCCCCACCGGTTTGGACTGCTTTATCACTTAGTTGTTTGCAGGCTGGCTTGGGTTCCCCAGTCTGAAAAAGGACCCTTTACTGTGGACATGGGTAGTGCCCATCACTGGGAGCCCAGGCTCATCTAAGCACAAGACAAGTACAGCCAGGGCCCAGGCAGAGTGTGTGGCCTGTGTGCAGCCCACGAGCTCCCCACCAGGCAGGCGCTGCTTACACGCTCAGTGACCCCCTCAACAGGGGAAGGGTATGTGTGGGGAGGACATGCAACTCCCATCCTGATGGTGCTCCTGAGGTGGGGCAGTTAGACGACCCTACTAGACTTCCCGTAGTGTTGGTGGGCCCACCCAGGAGGCAAGAGAGACGGCTGGGCTGGGCCTACACTTTTCAGCATTTCATAATCCCATAAACCACCCTAACGGAGCTATTTCCTTCTGCACATTTCTCCTTCCTCTCTCTGCTTACAACCAACCAGGCGTATTTCTGATAGTTAAAGTCAGAAATGTCTGCTCTTTCATTTTACAGCATATTACAGACCTTTTGTGCACATTTCAGAAGCATATGGAGTTCAGAACATGGTCATTTACTCACAAATTCTTGAAATTATATGGGCTGGTAAACTCACATCAAGCTGGAAAAGTCCCAGGGGAACTTCTTTCAGTGTGTTTTCTGAAAAATCCACATCCTTGAGATGATTTTTCCAAAAAACAGCCATTTTGTCTGGCAGAGACTCAAGGGCATTTTTGGATGCTTTACAACATTTCTAGGAGTTTGATGAGAAAGAGAATGACGTAGTCATTAACTATTTACAGGTGGTGGTACCTCTGTGGTTGTTATAATAGTTGATGTAAAAAAATAATAAAACCATTTCCAAGGTTTTGTAACAAGTATCATTTCATGTTAACCATGAGCCCTTGGGCGGGGGGGGGGAACACAAACAGCTCAAATGCTCCACCTCTAACTGAAAGGTTGGAAGTTTGAATCTACCCCAAGGTACCACTTATAGGCCTAATTCTGCAGGATCACAGTCACTGAAAACTATATAAAGCAAAATTCTACACCCACAGGAGGTTCTAGACTGTCACCTGACCTACAGATTTGGACTTGCCAGTCTCCCACAATGGCATGAGTCAAATCTCTTAAAAGAAATCTCTCTCTCTCTCAGTGTATGTATACATACATACACATGAGTGCACTTTAAAAAGTTCCGGGGAAAATGAATTAAAGGATAATGAGTGAAAAGCTAAGTTTTTCAATGAACTTGTCGAAGCCCCCTTGTGTGTGTGTGTGTGTGTGTGTGTGTACACACACATACATACATAATATACTGCACTAGTTCTGTGGCTCCAGAGAACATTTAGACAAGGGATGAGGTGAGACAAAACACCCGAGATGCTCTGTGGCTCTCATCATTTCTGGAATGGTACTAACCAAAGGGCAGGCCCAGGGATCCGGAAACACTTTCAGGTTGTTTTTGGAGACATTCAGATAAGTGAGTGACTTGAAAGAATGAAGGAAAAGAGCAGGGAGTTCTGTCAGCTTATTGTCCGATACATCCAGTTCTTGCAGTTTCCGCAAACCAATCCAGTTAGTGGCTAGGAAAACAAAAAACAACCAAAAAACAAGACTAAAGTGGTACGATGGTCCTATCGGGAGGAAAATGACAAATTAACTCAGGCTACCTGCCATTCCTCAAAAAAACTATGAGTCGGAACCCGCTCGACAGCATTTACCTAACAAACAAACGAAAACAAACAAACAAACCAACCATTGTCTTCCTCAAACAGCTTTTCTAAATAATTTCTTGAAGCTGTCAGTTTCTGAAGTTTCGAGAGGTGCAAAAATCCCAGTGGGAGGTGGAACAACTTGTTGCCGGAAATGTCAATTTCCAGGAGCCTGTGGTTGGGGAAGATAGAAGTCAGGGTGTCAGGAGACAGAAACAAAGCACAACTTGCAAACTCTTTTCTGTCAACAGGGAAGCGGCCCTTTTCTTGGGGTCCCTGTGCAAGGCTGACTAGTGTGCAGTCAAAGGTATCATGCGATCTCTTAGGAAGAAAATCAAATTTAGGAAGATTGGTAGAGATAAAAACCCACCTTATCTACCACAGATGGGATTCCTGGGTGGTGCGAACGGTTAACGTGCACAGCTAACTGAAAAGCTGGGGATCCCAATCTTCCTAAAGGCATCTTGTAGAAAGACCCGGAGAGCTACTTCTGAACCATCAGGCACTGAGAACTCTGGGTCTACATACATGGGGTTGCCATGAGTCAGAACTGACTTGATGGACAGCAGTCTAGATGTGATAGCAAACTCAGCGGCTGGCCGAATGGCTCTTCTGGATACCTTTTGGACCCTGGGAGCCCAGGTTAAAGACTCTTGCTTATGGGGTCTGTGGGTTACTGCTTTCCAACACTCCTTTCTCTCTCCTCACTTAGAGCTCAAACCCTTATGAGATGGGGTTTTGCATGCATCGATCAGACATAAACCAACTTTGCAATCCAGTGCATTAACCCACAGTGTCACACCATTGCAAAGTCGGTTTGAACCTCAAGGTTTGCAGTTCAAGCTCACCAGCTGCTCCTCAGAAACCCTATATGGGGTTACTATGGGTCAGAACTGATTTGATGGCACTTAACAACAACACCATCACACAAAAGACATCTGGTGTGGCAATGTACGGTCAGCACTGGATGTGAACTCCAAGGTCAGGGTTGCTATGAGTTGGAATCGACTCGGTGGCACTTAACAACATCAGTGAGGATTAGGTCTCTGCCCTCCGCATGCAACCTTGGGCCTCTTCCCAAGGGCTCCTGGGAAAGGAGACTGAAGAAGTCCACACTACGTGCTGCTGGAATGTAGTAGCTATCCCTTTCTCTGAGATTTCCCCTTCTATTCCTTTCCCCGGGAGGTAGAGTATAAGACGATGCCTTGGCTGGGGACTTGGGATCAGGAGATGGAAAGGGGCTGAGGAGGGTGGGGGGGGGGGGGGGGGGGGGGCTGCTCCCACTACCCTAGCAGCTTCCTGCCCCTCTCCTCTGATTCCTGTGTGTAGACAGAGACCAAATGCAAGCTGAGGTACAGACTACATCTCTCCAGACCTCTTCGTGTTCATCTGAAGAGGTGGCAGGAAACTGGTTCCTAAAGTTGGTGCCATCCATACTTACAGGCAGGACATTTGTTTCCAAACCCATAAAATAGCATCAGGGAGTGTGGGTTGAGGACAGAGTTACCCTGAGGCACAGACGGCTAGTCGCACTCTGTATACCTGGAGCAGATGATCTCATCTGAAGACTGGACGCTGGGCAGCTCTCCCAGGTGGTTGTCTGCCAGGTTCAACTTCCGGAGGTGGATGAGCCCCCAGGGGATGACCGAGGGGAGGGAAGACAGACAGTTGGCAGAAAGGTCCAGCTCTGTGACTTGGCAGGATATGTCTATCAGCCAATCCAGGTCCACCCAGGGCAACTTGAGGTGGGACCATTTTACATGCAGGGCCTGGGGGATGGAGAAACAGGAAAAACGTACACTGATGTAGGATTGGACATTTGCCCGAATGCTAGTCTGCCCTCTTGTTCCACACTTGCCACAGTGGCTGGCCCCTCACCCTCCAGACTGCAGAGGGAGTATGCAGGCCTATTTGCCCCTGCCTGGGAGGAGGCCACCCCATCTCTGTAGTCAGACTTGAAGACAGACTTGAGGACTTGAGACCTGAGCACAGACTTGAGGACTTGAGAGACGTGCCTGGCCTCACCATACTGAAGGATAAGACTGAGGACCCAGCCTGGGCTTTGTGACTGCTCAGAGCAGCTTCCCACGGCAGTTAGAACAGCCAACAGTCAGCTGGTACAGAGTGGCAAAAAGCATACACCAGCAGAACACTACCCTTCCTTCTTGATTATCAAAGAATTTTTGGCTCAATTAGGCTTCCGGGGGAGGAAATATGCTTTTCCATCTGTTTTTTCAGAGCCATTGGAAATCCATATTGGAAAATCAGAGGAGCGTAAATGCAAAAAACCTCAAATGCAAAAAAAAAAAAAAAAGGAAAATGTAACACCCCAGTAGAGGCTGTGGGAAAGATATCAACAATCAGAGGTGAAATGATTTGCCTCAAAGTCGACAGCAGCGGATGGACTCCCTAACCCGGCGGCTACGTGGGGCTGTGCGCCCTGTCTTCAGTTCGGTTGAGCTGCTACCGCCTCAGGCTCCAATAGTGAACCAAAGGGATGAGTATGTTTCTCTCGCTCTCTGTTGTTCGGCGTGTCATCGCCGTGGATGAAGACAGACAGGCAATAGTGTACTGGAATTGGAGTCCAGAAAATAAGACTTTTAGTCTCACCTAGCTTTCTTTTTTTTTTTTTTAAAGAGCTCTGGTGCTCTGGGCCTGTTTTATTGCTTTTACGATGTTTCCCACACAATTTTTTATTTTGAAAATATCCAAGTGGCAGAAAAGTTGAATTAGTTTACAATGAGCATCCGTATATATTTCAACGAGATCTACCACATTTGCTTTCTTTACTTCTCTCTCTACACAAACTTTTTAGTTTTTGTAGAATCATTTGAAAATAAATTACAGGGATTCTGACACTTTGCTCCTAAATACTTCAGCATGTATCTCTGAATAACAAGAATACTTTATTATATAACAAGCATAATCCTAATCACTTTCAGGATATATAACATGCATATGGTACTGTCAAAGGCGCATCTCGCCACTGTTGTGAGGCTGGGTTCAGCACCCATTCAAGAACCACACACTGTTGTTGGTTGTCATGTCTCTTTTTCAATCTGGAAGCCTCCTTAGCCCTTTTACGTATTTTTTGACATTGCTATTTTTAAGTTCTGATGAGTTATCCTGAGGCATAACCTATATCCTGAGAGTAACTGCTTCCCAAAGTTGAGATTCACGTTAGGCACTTTTGGCAAAGATCCCAGAAAGTCACCGTTGAGGTGCCTTCCCCACTGTGCCCCTCAGAGGCAGCTGCTAGCTGGCTGTCCTGTTAACGGCGGTGGAGAGTCAGGCCACTTGGGCAGAGTGGTGTCTGTTTGCCTGAGCTCTCCTTTCTAAAGGCACCTTTTGCAGTTCGTTATTAGTAAGTGTGGTATGCTAACAGCATGTGATGATCCTCTTTACCCAATACTGTTTCATCATCATCCCGGCAGTTGTACATTTGCAAAGTAGTGCTTTATCATGTCTTCTACAGCGACTGCCTGGAATTCTTCTCCACGGAAGAGCTTCCTCTCTTCCTTTTTTAATTTGAATTCGTTTTTATTCATTTATTTTTGAATGTTTTATTGTGACTTATGTGATAGTTTACATGGGAGAACATTTGCTTCACATTCACCCTATTCGTATATCGTTTCATTGCCATGGTTACAATCCCCTCCATGCATCATCAACCAACCAAAGCTCTCTTCCTTTTGAAGTATCACAATGGACTCAACAGTTTCTTTCTTACTTCAAAGAATTATCATTTTTTGATTATTTCTTTTGATGCTCAAGTGGTCCCCATCTTGGGCAGTGGGCGTTCCATTAAGCTGGCTCCTGTGTTCCTTTGACACACTTGTTTCGGCCTCTGGGCCCTGCCTTAATTCTCGGTAAAACAATATGCTTGTCTTCTCTTGCGCTTTCCAAGTCCCAGTCCTGGAATTAACCCTGATTCCCTTTAGTGAGGAGATCTAGTGAAGTGGTGGGTTAGACCTTGCAAGGTTACCGGTGGTTCAAACTCCTCGGGAGAAAGATGAGGCTGTCTGCTCCTGTAAAGATTTATAGTCTTGGAAACCCTATTAGGATCACTATGAGTTGGTTGGAGGTTTTTTTCCCTTTAGTGGAAAATGGTATTTAGAAACCAAGATCTAGGTATTAAGCCTTTTGCTTGCTATAGTGTCTCAGAGTGCATCCTGATACCGCCCATTCAAACCCACCTGTAGAGGCGTCTCCCTAACGTTTCTGGGATTCATAATAGTATCATCCTTCACCTTGTTATTGTTGTTTGTAATCTGTTCAGTAAGTGGTTTATACCAAGTGATGTCTGGCCACTCTGGACTCAGGATTCTTGTGGCTTATGGTCCAGTGAAGGACAGCGGTTTCCCCTGGGGTAAGGGGAAGGTGATCTTGGGAAGCCTTGGGGGAAAGCCTACAAGAATCAATCCAAGAACCGATGAAAGGAATATCAGCATGCAGATCCTTTCAATGCCAAGTCAAATGGCATCCCCCTCAGGCGTGGCCACCTTTCCTTCCTGTGTTCTCTAGGCCCACCCAGCTGGACATTAATGTCCGCAATTCAGCATGACACTCAGCCTGCTTGGCCACTGGTAGTGGTGGTGGTGGTGGTGTGCCTTCAAGTCGGTTCTGACTCACAGCTGCCTTGTGTAGGTTTCTGAGGCTGTAAATCTTCACAGGAGCAGAAAGCCTCATCTTCCTCCCACGGAGCAGCTGGTGGATTGGAACTGCTGACCTTGCTAACAACTCAGCGCGTAACCCACTATGCTACCGGAGTTCCTTGTGTGGGTACTGGTGGTGGTGTGCTGTGGAGTCAGTTACGAATCACAGAGACCCTGTACAGGGTTTCCGAGGCTGTAAATCTTTACGGCAGCAGAAAGCCTCATGTTTCTCCTGCAGAACAGCCGGGAGTATCAAACTTCTGACTTTAAGGTTGGCTGCCCGACTCGTAACCTACTATGCTAACCAGAGTGCCTTGCATGGCCACTAGGGTCATGAATATGGAAATGACTAAATGTTGAACTGAAATAGCAGTCAAAAGCTACATGAAAAAAAGGCTGGTTTGGATTTTGACTTTAAACAATAAATCTGAAGTGTCTACTGAAAATCTTACAAATAAAATTCCGTATGACCATCAACACCATAGAAAGGGATCAGCCTGCCACTCTGTATGACCTGAGCCCATTAGGATACAAACTACAAATGCTTGGGGCTCTGGCGCCCTCACAAATGGTGTAAGTGATGCTGCTGTGCCAACGATGTGGTCTGTTTCCTGGCAGCTTCTCACCGTCCTCTGAGCCCACAGCTGCAGGCCTGACCCACACAGGCAGCATGGCCTCTGTTCTGCTTATCAAACTCCCTGCAGGGCTTTGGGGGAGTCGGCCATGGAGGGGAAGACCTTCTGGGGCTCCATCCAGCCCAACTCCTTTCTTATATTAAATTACCCTGGTTTCAGTCGCAGAGAATCAACCTCATCTTCTCCACTCCAGTGTTCCCCAGTCTCAGAACCAGACTCTGTACCATGTTAGCATGCAGCAGCCACTCAATAAATGCAGGTGTTGAAGAAATCAAGCTACTGATACTTGCAACCCGCCCATTCAGAACACCTCTAACCAGACGGGTCATTTTAAACAGCAAGGTCTCTCAAAACCCTTTAGGCCTACCCAATGCTTTCAGCCCAAGATCCAAACTCCTGCCCCTGGCAGCCCCACATGTCACCATCTGCACCCAACTCGCTTTCTCAACTTTCTGTCTCTCCTTCCCTGCAAGTGCAGTTGATCTGCCCACGTCCCCCTTCCCGGCACTGAGACTCCTGTATGTCTGCTGGCGTGGGCTTAATAACTGTTGGAGGTGAAGAACCCGGGGATGGGGAGAACTCTTGGACCAGGGGTTCAAAGCCAAGGGGAAGCGGCCAACGAAAGCACAGGATCCCTGAGTAACAAGGAGCTCATATGGAGTTTGTTGGGGGCAAGAGGGTGTGGCCCCATGCTGTGACTGGCACGTTGGCCTGGTTTCTTTGGGGCTGCAGATGTGTCCTATGGGATGTGGTTTGTTATGGATTAGAGGGGAAGATACTATGGTACTGGGCCTAGGGCTAAAAGTGCTTGTGTAAAAGCCGACTCCTCAGAAAAGGTTTCCTATTTTTTAATTAACGTTTTAAATTGTTGTAAAAATAAAGGCATCACATTTACTAATTTAACAGCTTTCCCGTGTGCAAGTCACTGATACCAATTACGCTGACCACGGTGTGACGTCATCACTGATATATCCATTACATGCTACATGCATGCTCCCTAAATGATACGTCATCACTGATATAGCCATTACATGATGCATGCATGCTCCCTAAATGATTCTCCACAGCCCTCCCTTCTCCCCCTGCTAACCACGATTCCACTTTGATCTCTGTGTGGAAGAGGCCTCTGAGTCATCAGCTCCTAACCTAAAAGTTGACACTTCAAACCCACCCAGTGTCAGCACAGGAGAAATGCTTGGCAATGTCCTTTAGTGAAGATTACATCCAAGAAAACCTTCTTGTTGTTGGTCTTACGCACCATCAAGTTGGTTCTGAATCACAGCAACCCGGTATATGGTGAGTTTGAACCAACAACCTTGTGGTTCAAACTGATCTTGTGGTCCAGTGCTTTAACCTATAGCACCACATCAGGACCCCAAGAAAGCCCCAGGGAGCAGTTTTAACTCTGTAACAAATGGGGTGTCCATGAATCAGAATCAACTGGACATAACTGGTTTCTATGGTGGACGTCGTAAGGAG